ATTATGGTTTGCAAAAAGGTGTTTTTACTAATTTTGTCATTCCTTTTAGTTAGTCATTACTTTGTTGTTTTAGTTGGCATTCTTCTGAGTTCATTCTACTACTAGGTAGAACTAGGATAAATCTTAATTGTGTTTTAATTTCCTATTTTAAAAATAAGGATTTATTTTAAAGTTGCCTCAAATGTTAATTTTTTTTCTGGCTTTCTCTTTGTAAAGTATTCTGAACTCATGGATTTTCATTGATTCAGAATCTCTACTAAAATCATTCTTTTGGTGCTCAGAATGTCATAATTTTGGTCACTTCTTTGCTTCCCAACACAGAAAGATGACTCATAATCATCCTTACCCCAGCCATGGAATCCTTGGTTCCTTTTAATATCAATCTGAGTTAGATCAGAAGAAAGAAACCACACAGTATTTTGAATGGGAGTGTTTAATATAAAGAATTATTAACTATGACAGGAGGTTATAATAATAAGGGATTGTCTAATGATATATAAAGAGTATTCTAAAGAATATAGAAGAGCTATGATGATGATACCACTGTACTGTAGCTGGGCAACAGTGCGAGACCCTGTCTCAAAAAAAAAAAAGAATGTAGAAATAAAATAGAAGGAGCAGTCATTAACCTTAGGGCTGAGATAGATCTTCTAAGGAAGGAAGAGTCCTCCTTCCTCCCAGAGCTGAGATCCAGACCCTGTTGGAGAGGGCATAGCCATGGCTCACTAGATTATAGAGAAGTCACTGTGGTGCTGAATTCTGCTGGAAATCTCAAATTCGCTGAAAATCTGCTTTCTAGGAAGCCCAAGAAGGCTGTTCAGGTGTCTCATCAGACAGTTCTGGTGTCTCGCCAGAGGCACTCTACCGCACATTAAGTCCAGAATCTCTAGGAAGTACACTCATATCAATGAATTTGGCTCAAGCAAATTATGTATTCTATCCTCTTTTGGCCTAATACCCTCAGAATCCATTCCTACACCTGTTCCCCTGGTTTCTTTATATGCATATTAGCAAAGTTTTATTATTCTTTTGGTGTGTAAGTTACTTCTTTCGGTGGTACTTGTCCCCCTGGAACATGCTGAGGTTTGTCCCTGGTTATGGGTCTAGTGACGACAGGACGTGGTAGTAGTCGATCTTGAGGAGAATGGGCATCCTCTTTCAAGGCACTGTCTCAGGTGAAGTTATCACAGGACATCGAGCTGAGGAAGGCTAGTCTCTTCAGGCACTGGAGGGCAAGCTACTTCCACTGAAAAGGGAAGCTCAGAGTGACTTGGGAATTTAAGATTATCATTTTCATTTGGGTCCAACCAGATATCACCATTCCAAGATTCAGAATCCCATTCCTTACCAGTTAGTTTCCTAACTTTCACATGAGAAATTTGGTGAAATTGTGAATTCAACTGATTGTAATTCAGCAAGCCACACAACTAAGTTTTGTATATGAGTTTCAGCCATACCAGCCCTATAGCTACAAAAAATAAGAGTTGTTTTTAGAGCTGTCATGGTTCTCAGACTGTGACTTGAGCTGAGAGTTAATGGACCTGAGTTTCTCATTTTCTTTTTGTAACTACTCAGAAGAATCCAGTACACATCGCAATCATTGGTGTCATCATTACTGCCACAGTGGACAACTGCAGCAACCACTTGCTTGACTTGGCATTTTATCACAATCGACAACAGATACCTTGACTGATTGTGATGCGGTCTGAAAAATATATTCCCTATGGTGCTTAATAAGGTTTCTAATTCTGTTTTGTAGCTTGTCATGTTATAGAACCCAGAGGATGAAATTAGTCCAAAATTGCCAAGAAAAAATAGGCATTTGGCTGTAATATCAGGTACCAAAGACCTCTTAAAACCTTTCCCATTCAGGGCCAGGTGCA